CTACATTAACACCTATAGAGTAACAGCTATTGCCATTATGAGACATGAATGCTTGTAATGCAAATGATCTAATACAGTGTAAAATTTAAAATAAATAATTATGATAATGGAAATGTGATTTAACATTTAGGTTTCAAATAAGCAGGCGGTATTTATTCTAGGGAACATAAAAGAAAATACTTTGCAGAAATGTTGGGAGCCAAAAATCATTGAACTCCATTAACTTCCACTGTATGGAAAAAAAGGAAATCTTATCTTCTTTGCTCCCCAGAAGAAAGTAAGTCATATACTGTAGGTTTGGGATAGCAGATTTTAAAAAATCAGTCCAGTACATAGAAACTGCATCAGATCCAATGACTAAACCTTTATTTTTGATTAAATGAAACCAGTTACATGGAGATATACAAAACTAAAGACATTTTAACTCAAATGTAACACAAGAATGCCATAGTACTGTTGTTTAGTGTTTATAAAGCGCACAATAATGATGATGAATTTATGTTTCAACACTTGCTGATCTTCTAGGTGGTTATCCTAGCTGGTTGCTTTCAATAGGTCTGCCAGGTGTATACTGTATGTCTGATCACACTCGCCTAATTTGAGGCATCATTCATGTCTGGAGCACAAACCGTAACTGTAAAGGTATAGTTATACAGTTTTGGGGGTAATGCATTACAAGTAGCGCAAGTTTCAAGTAACTAACAATGTAACGCATTACTTTTTAATTTACAAGAAAATATCTGAGTTACTTTTTCTATTAAGTAACGCAAGTTACTTTTTTCCCCAATTTATTTATTGACAGCTCTCCTGTCCCTATATTGAGTGAATTCAGAAGTACTGTAGTTACTGTACTGTCCTGTTACTGTAGTTCAAAAATAAATATGTACATTAATTCATCTCTCACAAAAAAAAACACAGATTCAGTATTCCTCAAAATGAATAAAAATAATGCAACTCAGAATATGACGCAAATCTGCAATAATTAAATGTTAAACATCACAAATATCCTTTATGTATTTAATCCCATTCTATTAACCAATGTCTTTGCTTCTGACCTTCGATGATCCAGTTCAACCATACTAATAAGCAAAAATTACACCAGAAAAACATGTGTCTTTTTTTATTGCTGAAGTGTGTTGAAATTTCTTCTTTTGCATTCTACTGTAAAGACGTAAATTTACTTTCCACTCAGCCTGAGGCTTATTCATTTCACTTTTGGTGTTAAAAGGCTTTTATATTAGCCAAAAATATAACTTTTTTATTTTAAAAACAAACAAGTAAGCCCTGTCCATATTTAAAAAGTAACTCAAAAGTAACGTAATGCATTACATTGCATAAAAAGTAACGTAATTAGTTACTTTTTTATGGAGTAACGCAATATTGTAATGCATTACTTTTAAAAGTAACTTTCCCCAACACTGTAGTTATAGTGATGCTTGCCTTAAACAGACTGAGCTGTCTGGTTCCTGAATACTGAACGCAGCGTAAAGTTCCTGGTCCTGAGGAAACTCTGCATCAAACATGTGCAAGAGTTCAGGCTCTGAGTTTAGGTTCAACCTATAGAAGAAAACAGAACCAGCCTCACGGTCCAGGAACACACCGAGTTTTCTGGTGGACTCAGTTTGAAGTGGTTTAGTTAGTGATTCAGTTTTTTTGTCATGAGCCACACATAAATTTTTTGAGCAACATAAACACCACGACATCTTATTGCGTCCCAGACGTACGGTGTTATTTGCACCTTTCCTCTTAATTCCCTTACAGGCCACACCCATGTGCACACCTGTCCCGCTCACATCCACCGTAAAGAAGCAACGTCCTGACAGCGGCTGGCAGCACAGGACCTGGTTGCACTTGTCAAATCTTTCGTCATTAGCAGGAAGCTGTTGCCTCTCTCTCTTACGAACAGCTACTGTGTTGTTCTCGCTCAGACAGAGGTATTCGTTAGCCGTCTGAGAGTCAAAGGTGAGTGTGACAGCATCTAAAAACAAAGTGAGATTTATCAGAAAAAGTCAGCTTAAATATCTACAATTAGCAGTAGCAGCATATTGAGTGTAGATGATGTAAAATACTTTAGGGAAGTCACATGCCATACTTTAAACAGCATTTTGGTAATTCTTTCATTATTTTAATGAGGGCAGGTTTTGATGAGCTCATGTAAATTAGAGAAACACAATTTTTGCACGTCAATAAATGTATGTCACACCGCAAGACCTTTTAAAATGAAATGGAAAAAGGTGAAGCAGTTACACAGTGTCTACAAACAAACATTCATCTACATTTTAACCTGCAATCTTTATGTTGACCCATGTTTAAACTCACATTTGTACAGTCCTGGTTGGTGATTGCAGACTCCCCCAGTGTAAATTCTAGTTAGAGTTAGAGTTAGGGTTAGTATGGGTTAATATGTTAAGACATGAATCACACCATTGCACATTTATTGAAGCACATTTTAAACATGAATGGATAGTCTCTTGTTCGACAGCCATTCTCATTTTTACCTTTACATTAGTCTCCACCTACGGTGCTTGTGTATCAAAGTCGCCTAAAGGAAGTATACTTGAACACAACAGTGAACTATTCACTGAATGGCTAAGAAGAATCAAAGTCCTCACTACATGTTTCATGGGATCCAGTGATGTTCATTCCAGCCTTCCACTTGAACCAATACTAGATAAAAGCTACATACCTCAGTGAGGGCAGCTTATCCTTCAGTAGACACACTTTCTTTTCCATGATGTTTCCAAGGTCATTATACTGCAGGTCCAGTTCTCTCAGACTGGCTTTCAAAGACGACAGCAACTTCAAAACTCCTTCTTTAATCTGACAGCCTGAGAGTCTGTTAAGGCAAAATCAGATTTTTGATTAGATCAACTGGCCAAGGAATGACATTTGCCTGTTTGCCTATTTCAGGGACCAAGCAGCATAGCTGGTTGGTTTTTGTACATCATATATTTACCCATTTAGCAAATTACTTTGCATTCAAGCTATACATTTTAATGCATTAATGGTCACGTGACATGCAGATAAACAAATAAAATATTTCATCTTTGTGGTTGATTTATTTTGATTGATAACAAGTGTCTTTGTTAATTCTTTTTTGCAGATACAAGTCAATTAGTACCAACAACATGAAAACATCAAACAAATATTACATTTGATATTTTTTAAATAAAAAGTCACACTATAAAATCAACATTACGTGCTTCAAACACCTTAGCATCTTTTCAAAGTTACCATAGATGTCTTTACAACATCTATTTAACGCACCTGTCTGGACCCTGATGTTTGCAGTTAGTTTTACTTACTTCAGAACTTCAAGATGACACTTAGCACTCCGCAGCCCAGCCGAGAGGATTTTTACTCCTTCGTCTTCTAGATGATTGTCACTGAGGTCCAGGATTTTCAGATTCACATTTGATCCTGAAAGCACACCCTTGATGAACTCCATGTCCTGACTATGGAGGTCATTGTGGCTGAGGTTCAGCATTTGAATCTGGCATTTGGGATCACAGAAGGCCCTAGAAAGTTCCTTCAGTGCAGACCGTCCCAGGCTATTGTGGCTCAGATCAAGATGAGTCAGGTGAGAGTTTGGTGAGGTCAGAAAAGGCACCAGGATATCACAGTGTTTCTCTGTAAAGCCGCCTCCTTCGAGCCTGTATATATTGCATTTAACCTCTGTTATGATTTTGCATTTAAACTCCATTACAATAAACTTTGGAAATATTTTATTATACATTATGAAGATGTGTGCAGATATTTCATAATACTTACATAGCCTTTCTGAAGCATTTGATGGCTGGAGAGAATCTCTGAAATCCTTCTAAAGTGATGTTGAATTTCCTGAGGACAAACTCATCATGGTCTGTATCTGACATCACAAACCGGAAAGCCAGAAGCGTGCACTGGAACAGTGTGAGGGGTTTTTTGGTTCGAGAGCGCTCGAGATCTGGCATCTGCAAAAAAGACCTGTCCTTGAGCTCCACGATGCAACGAACAAGACTAAAACATCTCTCAGGGGACAGATCTTTCCTCCTCAAAGACTTAATGTACTTGGTCACTTTTTTGTGATCTTCTAAACTACTGTCTTCCAATCGAGGCAGGAATCCTTCGAGTATACGTCTGCTGGAATCACAAGAAATTCCGAAGAGGAAACAGTTAAAAAGATCCAAGTGTTCATTTTTGCTTAGCACAGTCACATCAATCACGCTTTTGAGAAAATCAGACAAATTAGACTTTTGCCCCCTTTTCGCTTGAATTAATACCAGGGAGTCTTGGTTTCCTGATAGAAATTCATGAAAAACAAACAAGGCTGCAAAGAATTCCTGGACACTGAGATGGACAAAGCTGAAAAATTTAGTTCTGTTATATCCAAATTTGCACTCAGAGACACAGGTAATGATGCCAGGATATCGAAGAGCTTCATCAGGAGTGATATAATATTTCCTCAAGTCTTCTTTACTGAAGATGGCATTCTGTTCCTTCAGCTTCCAGTATGCCAACGCTGCCAGTTTCTTAATCAGTTCTTTGTACTGTATGAGAGCATTTTCTGGTGACACATTTTTCCCTTGATATTTGTTGTGGCTTAACCCAGTCTGAATGAGCAGATAGTGGATATACATTTCTGTCTGATTTGAGGGCATGTCCCTGTCTTTATTTGGACTTTTAATGAAGGTTTTCAGAACAACCGATGAAATCCAACAAAATAGAGGTATGTGGCACAATATCCATAGGCTCTTATGAGACTTTAGGTGACGGATGACTTTTTGGGTTAGATCTGGATCCTCAAACTGCCTCGTGAAGTACTCCTCCTTTTGTTCATCTGTGAATCCTCTGATCTGCGTGACATATCCCTGTCTGAAGATCTCAGATGGAAGCTGTTCAGCTGCCACAGGCCGGCTGGTGATCCACAGGTGTGCGGATGGAAGCAGTTTTCCTCTTAGAAGGTTTGCTAGGAGGACTTCCAGTGTGGCTTTTTTAGTAACATCTGACAAAATGTTGGTTTGAAAGCGCAGTTCATTTTTATATTCATCCAAACCATCTAAGATGAACAGAACTTTTCTATCACAGATCCAGTCAGAGATTGATCTTGCCTCTTTGAACTCTGAGTAAAAGGCACAAAGCAGGTCAAAAAGACTCTGGTTTTCTCCCTCACGCAAGTTCAGCTCTCGGAATGGGAGCAGAAAAACAAGCTCTAGATCCTGATTG